ACTGTAGATCTCTTCTCGATGAGTTGAGTTTCAGACTGTAGATCTCTTCTCGATGAGTTGAGGGATGTGAGATTAGTCTTTGTTCGTAGGTCTGCGAATGGTGCTGCTCATATGCTTGCTAGAGCCGTTACCATCTCGACAGGCAAGGTCGTTTGGTCTGATCGACCACCTGTTTGTATTTTTGATATTTGAAGGCTTGAAGGTTAATAATATCCTACATTATTTTCGTAAAAAAAAAACAAAGATTGTTTGCTAACTAGTAATAAAGCTATCTTAAAATTGAATGCTTACAATCACTCATCTTTAATCATTGACCGCTCAAAGTGAACAAAGCTTCATTGCTAAATCGCTCGCTCTATCAAAATGCGAATTTAAATCTCAGTTCGAGCCGATTAAGAAAAAAACGACACGAAGCTGACTATTAATTCATGCTCGTATCAAAACAAGAGCTAAAGGAAAGAATTAAATATATATAGGTAAAGAAGCAACTACATCTATACATTGAGTATTGACAATGATTTTCAGAATCGTATCAACTCAATATAAAATCAAATAAATAAATAAATAGATAAGACACTGAATATGTAATCTGAATCAATGAAACAAATACAAAACATAAGAAAAAAAAAGACCTCATATGCTTTTTTTTTTTTTTTTTTTTTTTTTTTTTTTTTGGTCTCGTTGCTCCCTTTCCACTCTATTTTTTGGGTATTACATACTCAGCAAACTCCGTAGCCGAAACCATATTCTTCAACTTCCACTTTCCCCATATCTCCTCTTCTTCCTTCTCTTCATCGGCTAGTAAATGTGGGGGCGGAGGCAGCTCTGCTAAGTCCTCTCTCTCCCATTCTTCAATATGCACGCCGTGGCATGTATCCTGATAATCCACACCCGCCATTGCCAATGCTTCTATTGAGGCTGACATGATTTTTTTTTTTTTTTTTTTTTTTTTTTTTTTTTTTTTTTTTTTTTTTTTTTTTTTTTTTTTTTTTTTTTTGCAGGCTATAAGGAGTAAAGACTAATGAGTAATCTTGCCTTGTTACAGTATTCCAATGTAACAATTTTTGTTTATATAAATGGTGAAAGGGAAGCAAGAACTCGATTACATTTTCTAGAGAAATCACATGAGTGAAGTGAAGAGATGAATTCAAAATTGGAAGCTTGTGATAGGTTTGACGAGAAATTTAAAATGGTAAACGTTTTCCATGGAAGGAAAATGGTATCAACAACCATAATCTTGTGAATTTTCCTGGTTTATATTAATAAAATAAATTAATTTGCTCGTAAAAAAAACTATATTCTCGTGAAACATTTCAGAAATTTATCAATTTACTTGAATATATTCAACCAGTATGACTATAACACGTGCATATACATATACATGCCATTGGCCAACAAAGAATATATTCAACACGTGCTTCTTTTTCAGTTATGATCAACGCCATGATGCCAGCTTTATCGGATAATGACATACAAATATTTTCCTCTATCCAAATTCGTCTCAGCGTAGCAAAATTTTACATTTTATTAATTAAAATTATCAGGAAAAAACATAAGGAACTTTAACAAATTAACAAATTAAACCTAATTCAATAGACTTCTCCAAAACATCCATTCCTAGCCAAAGATTGTTAAGAATATATGTATATATAGTTTATACTTACTTAAAGATTTTTAAAAAGAAATTAGTATAAACCAAGCTTCTTGGTCAAAATTTGATGCTACACATGGTAGTAGGAATGACAATATAAAATTCAAAAATTTATAAAGTTTGAGATACTTGACCAAATCAGTGAAAATTATTGTGATTAAGAGAACTCTAATTCGAGATCTTTCACTTCTCGCATCATATAAATAAGAAAACCGATGAAACTGTATCGGTTTTGATATTATAAAATATTTTATTAAATACTATTAAATTCAATATTTTTATAGGATTACTAATTTTATAATTGGTAAGATTATTATTTAAAATAGTAAAAAAATTAGTTTTTAATATTTTTTTAATTAAATATAGTAAAAAAAACAAATTGCTTAGTAACCCACCATTCTGATTTTAAGGAAAAAAAAATAAATGCAAAAAATGTAAAAAAAAAAAAAAAAAAAAAAAAAAAAAAATAACCATGTCTAACATATCCAAACATATTGGCTGGTTTAATGGCTTATAATATCTCTCACAATATATCAAAACAAGTAATCAATCCAAAGCCCAACTAATGGGCTTTCCACCATCAAAACAATTACACCTCTCAATCATTTTAGCTATTCTTTAATTCAAAACTTCTGCTTAATTTGTTTCATTTTCCACTTGCAAATCTCCACAAATCTTTCTTCTTTCTTCTGCAAGTAAATGGGGTGGAGGCGATTCGAAATAAAAAAAAAAAAAAAAAAATACATGTCTACATATCAAACATATTGGCTGGTTTATGGCTTATAATATCTCTCACATATATCAAAACAAGTAATCATCAAAAGCCCAACAATGGCTTTCACCATCAAAACAATTACACCTCTCAATCTTTTAGCTATTCTTTCATTCAAACTTCTGCTTAATTTGTTTCATTTCCACTTGCAAATCTCCACAAATCTCTTCTTCTTCTGCAAGTAAATGGGGTGGAGGCGATTCGAATTCATCGTCCTGCTCCCATTGTTGCACTTGTTTACCCCATTGATGATAATCTACTCCAGCCATTGCTAAAGCCTCCATTGAAACTGACATGACTGCTTCTTTTCGTATTGACAATTAATAAGCAAATGACATTGATTCTGTTAGAATTACACCAACATTGATAGTCTATAGCAAGACAAATTTGACAAGTAAAAAATGTCTACTTTTCCTAGTAAATTGAAAATTCTTACATGGTTTTAAAAATGATAATAGCATAGAGGAGATGCAATGTTCTCGTGATCATCTTCAGGCCATTTCCCATAGTTTTTACTTTTTGTTATTGTTTGATATTACAGTAGAGCTAATCAGGGTGTTTGGCACTATTAAGGCAGATGGGTAAGCCTGCACCTTAGACCTTGGTTATAAAAATAAAACCATGTAAAGGCGGGTGTTGGAATTTGAATCACACCAATATTAGAATCTAATAATATCAGGTGTCATAGTTTTATCATGGGTTTTCTAAGTATTTTTTAGAATATTACTCTTTTATATTTATTATTTTGAATTATTTTATTTAATTATGGAAATTTTTTTATTATTAAAATTGTTACTGTAAATAATAAAAGTTTATATAGAATTATATTTAAAAAGATAACAAAGTTTTATGTATATATAATATAGCTTCAATTATATGTAAATACATGATAGATATTTCAATAACATAAATAAAAATTTTATAATTCTTTATTAAAATTTTAAAATTACTTATTTTAGATAAATAAATTAGGTATTAAGATGAAAAATAAATAGTTTATTTTTTTGATAACTTATAGAATAAGCCACCTGTAATTTGCTTAGATTTAAATTCAATTATTTATATCTAAATATTTTAAGAGAAATTAATTATTTAATATCTGAGGCACGACCAAATTATTTAAGTTATCCATTTATTTTGGATCAAAATTCAATGCCACGTTTGCATCTGTCGAACTAAGTAGTTTTTCGGTCCAATTTGCATCTGTCGACTTAAGTAGTTTTTCCGTCCAATTGGGGGTGTTTTCAGTTAAGTCATAAGGAAATGACAAAAAGACCCCTGGGAATATGAAGGACACAAACTTTCTCTCTCCATCACCTTCGCATGCACCACCTCCACCATATCCGCCCTCGCCATCAACATCTCCAACCCCTGCATCTTCTCTACCGCCGCCTTCACCATCACCACCTTCAAATCGTACCAAAACTCGCCACTGCTACTTGGGCTACACACTGGCCATAGCCGACATTACAACTCCTCCATCCAGGATGTCGGAATATCGATCTTGGCGAGAATACGGGGGAGGATCACGACGGACCACATCGGGCTCGTAATCGCTGCCAGCACCGTCGCTGACTGAAGGGCGAACGACGAGGCTGCTAAGTAGCGGCTGTGATGTGATGTCATTTGGTCCTTAACTCTCGATCCCATCTTTTCGCTGCTTCTCTCTCCTTTGTCGTTTAGTACTTGCTTAGTTTAATCGTGTAAATTATTGATTTATCGAGGGATTTAAGAAATACAGGTGATGAACGAAGAAATAACAGTAAATTAGGAGTTTAGGGTGAGGTTTGTTTCTGTTCAATATTTATAAAGCTCAGGAAGAGGGAGAGACCACTCGGGTGCTCATAGAAGCCATGGCAAGCAGGCTAGGTGTTCTTGATTGATCATGAATTCTTTCAAAATTTAATCTTATTAACAAATTATGGATTAAATTATAATAGTATTAAGTCACGGATTATTAATTGTGGTTGTAATTTTTTTGCTACAGTTGAGAAGGCTAAGAGAGTGGGTAAGAATGGGTTTGAGGAGCAAAGGTGGTTTTGGAATGTTTTTAGGAGTTTTGATAAGCTTTGGGTTTTGGTGATTTTGTTTTTGCAGGCTAGTCTAATTGTTTTGGGATGGTATTGACTCTTCGTGGCAGGCATTGAAGAAACGTGATGTACATGTTGAGTTTATGTCTTTTGCAATTAAGAGGCAGTTTTTATCATTCTGATAATTTTCTCTCTACTCTAATTTCCTTGCGATTTAACTTAATATTTAACTTAATATTTATTCAAAATGAATGAACTACTTAAAATCTCATAAACAAACTATTTTTCAAATATAACAAATATTATGGAACTGAATTAGTATAATAGAATTATGTGTACATAGCTTAAAGAACACGATTTTAAAATTTCAAAAGTTTTTCCTATTAAATTCTAAAATTTGAATTTAATAATATCATTTTATTATAATAACAAATAGAATTTTATAATAAGAATAATAAAATAAGGAAAACCAAACCACTAACCAGGCCGATCGAACCTAGCATAAACCATGGAAACCCGTTAAAATCTAGAAGTTTCCATTTGACTTGAACCGAACCAGTGAATTGAGCCCAACCAGAAACAGGAGAGAGAAACAACCAAAAAGGGGAAAGAAGCCCAAAACTCCTCTCCCGATCGCAGCACCGCGATCTCCTTTCCTTCCCCTACCCGATCAGTTTTTCGGCCACCGGTTATCGAGGCCAAGGCGGCGAACCTTGACTCCGGCCATCCCTTCAACGATCGAAGCCTGCTCCACGCGAAACAAGGCTCTCCCCTGCGACGCTGCTACCTCAGACAGTTTTCTCTTTCTCGATTTTCCGGCCAGCTCAAGCATTTGTGGCAATTCCCTTTACTCAGGTTGGTCAAAGGTCGACCCTCAATGCTTTTGATTAACTTATTCTTGATTGATTTGGTCATTGAATGAAGATTGAAGGGAGTTTAGAATTTCGGTTTCAGTTTGAATGGAATTTTCGGATTTTGATAAGTTAGGCATTGGACGGTGAAATTGATTTGGGAATTGAGTTCTACATGAAAAACCACGACTAATGTTTGAATCTCGAGAAATTTGATAGCCACTGCCCCTCCGGCCACGGCGGACGGAGACGCAGGCGGTGGCCTCGGTGACCGGAGATTATTACAGCAGGCAGAATGCTGCGTCTGATGTGTAGGTCATGAATAAGTAATTAGTTTTGCAATTAGATGTCCTTCGATACTTGAGATATTGATAGATGCAATTAGACAAATAGGCCTTAAAGCCGAAAATCACAGAAATTGATAAAACAAGAGTTAAGAAAATCCTAGAAAAGTGTTGGTAGCTAATTAACTGAAGTAATCATCTTTAATAATAGCTAGAAGTGATCAATGGTTTTAAATAAGCATAAGGTTCTAGCCCGTTAATGGAAATACAAATTGCTAGGTTCTAGTTTGTTGTGTAATATTCTACTTGGGTTTGATAAAAAGAAAATGTATAGATGATGCTTTAGATTGATGGAAACTTAACGGAATTGAATTAATAGAACTGAGTTAGTTATCAAATTAGATATCTGTAATAATGAATTGTGTATTTTAAACTATAAGCATTGTAACTGCCTATGAACTTGATTGGACATAAATGGGTGCGCATAGAAAAGTTCAGATTATTATTACCATTGCTGACAAGAACTTGCTATTTGTTTTTCATATCGTATATAATAGATGTAAGTATATATACATGGTGATGTTGAGACTAGGGAAATATAATTGGATAAGGAAAATATAAACGTAATGACATTAATAGCAAAATATTTAAAATGAGAGAATCTATCTATAATATATAATTATAATAATCTATTTTTATATATAAATGTGGCAATAAGGGGAAATAATGGAATTTTCAATGATACTCCTAATGACTTTTAAGATATCTTAAAGTAAACTTAGTCATGACAAACTAAAAAATTTGCACTTAAAAATATATATAATTTTTTTCTTTGATATATTTTATTAAGATTAATTTTTTAAATAAATACAGTTACATTTTCTTTTCTCTTAAATTTTTCTCCTTTTCATAGGAATTCTGTGTCTCTACTCTGTTGTCAAAGTTTTGTGTATTAATAATTATTTAGATTGCGAACTACACTTTTGCTTATTATTTGTTTATTAGTTTTGTATTCAGAGATTTGTACACATTTAGGGTCCATGTGGAGATCACCAGCCATGTCTTCCCTTGTGAGTATCTCTCTTTGCACTTGTGCTTTATTGTGATTTTTGGAGGCAGTGATTCTGATTTTGAGCTAGTTGATGATTTACAGAGCAGCCGATTAACTGGGGTAGGAGCTGCTAGGGTTCAAAGTCCTAATTGCGGCTACAATACGATGCTGCAAGATCATATTTATAAAACAAACGTTACTAGATCTACCTTCCTTTTAGAGGTACTCTACAAAATGTCCTTGAACTTATTTTGAGAATGTATATATGGTTTCATTAGTAATTTGATAGAAAATGACATGGTTGTTGAAAGTTTAGGATTTGTGTCTAGGATGTGTTGATGTTGATTAATAATTCCTGATGCATAGCCTGCATGAATTCCTAGTAAAGGAAGTTGATCTAGTGTCTATTGCTAAAAGAACGAAAATCAAGAGGTTAAGAATGGATGTTGATTAAAATTTTGTATTTCAATAGACATATGGAACGTACGCACTTATTTAATTGGTAGAGACCTGTATTATGGAAATTGGTCACTTCTTGGAAGGAGTTTTCAAGCTTCTAGTAAGCCATGAAGAGAATCTCTCTCTCTCATCCAGTCTTGATAACTCCTTTTGGTTTGGTGGACTTTGTTTGTCCTGTAGAGAACAGCAACCAAGGTACAGATAGGAACATTGAAGCATAAGAAATTGCAAAGAATCATATTAAACTGCTTAGTTATGTTATAAAATGCCACAGCATGGAGAGATTTTGCGCATTTGTCTGGAAGTAATTATTGGAGCAGCTGAAGTTGGCTAAGAAGAGAATAGCAGAATGACCAAAAGGAAAGCAAGAGAAAAAAAGTTTTTTTTAGTATTTCACATAAATATAAGCACTATGATGAGCTGATTATTTTGTAGTCTATTAATTAATCCCTGTTTAGATAGTTCGGTTCATCTCTCCCTTTCATATTAATTTGTCATATATTTTTTTAATATTGTCATTTAGAATGATTAGATATGACTTGTAATTTATGCTACTAAATTTGAATGGACCCAAAGTGATCTATTTGGTTGTGACATTCTAGAATCGTGTTGATCACAAAGCTGCTGCATGTGAAAATTCAATCCAGAATGTTAGAGGAGTGCAGAAATACCAGATCGGGGAAAATGTTTCCAGGAAGGATAAGATCAGCTTTCTTATGAACATGGTGTGCATATGCAAAAACATTTATAGTATTCTTATCTACTGATAAAGATTTGTGTGGAAATATGATTTATGTAACCTGAGAATATAATTTATGCATGCTGAATGCTAATAACTATTTTAGCAACTCAGGTCTTCTAGTTGCATTAATTTTTGTGCCAGACAATTTGGCTGTTACTGTCATGCATTGTTCTTCTCCCTAACATTTCACTTTTCCTAAAAGTGCATATGTCTGTTTATGGCTTTTGTGCACACATTATTCTTTTCTGGTTTTTTTGAAAAGTATTTTCTAGAAGAGTTGTGATGCTTGATTTTGTACTGGGTTATCTGCATTCATTGAGCAGCACAAACACTTATATATTTGTATATAAGGCATTGATTAGTTAAGTTGCAAGCTCATTTTTTAATGGGAACTTGTTAAACGAACATTTACTTTGAATTTCATATTTTTTCCTATAATGGAATCAAAGGATTGGTCTTTGATCTTGACATTCTCCTACATGAAGCAAAGATGGATTGACAAGCTGGTGAAAACTTTATCTCTGCAGTTTCTTAATCTCAAGGACAGTAAAGAAGCTGTTTATGGTGCTCTTGATGCCTGGGTTGCATGGGAGCGCCAGTTTCCTATTGGGTCAATTAGGAGGGCTTTGCTCACTCTTGAAAAGGAACAGCAGTGGCACAGAGTTGTTCAGGTTTCTCTTTCTCTCTCTCTCTCTCTCTCTCTCCCCCTTCATGTATGTGCATGATTATGTGTGAATGTTTCTTTCTTGTCTTTTGTGGATAAAAATGAAACCTTTATTGAAGGAGGAAACCATAGAAATAGAGGATAAGACATCTTCCTAAATGATGCTGCAGAGTGCAGCAACAAGCAACAGATAGAAAAATCAAAGACTAGAAAAGAAGCTTCCTCCTGTTAAGCCAAATAACATGTAATGACATTCCTCTGAAGGCTTCAAAAGCATAGGATGACAGAAAAGCCATGAAGGATGCATTATCCCACAGTAGATTTAAGATAATTTTATTTATCTTTGAAAATATGCAAATTTCTACTTATCATCTGCATAATAAAATCACAAAAAAGCAGAATTCCACAAAACTTTAGCATCTTTGCAAACCATCAAACTCTCTCCATTTTAAACTAACAATTGATTAAACATATTCTCCTATATTTTAGCATCTACATAAAATTTTTAGCTTAAATTGTAAGGAATAAATCCAAGATGGATCAGAACTAGAATGGTGCTGGGGGCAATATTTATCTAATTAAATTGACAAAATAAAGCTGGGATACTTTTTAAAGTCCACATTATTGTATGGGCAGTTAATCATTTGGCATAGCACAAGAGATAAAAAAAGTTGAGTACAGTTAATCATTTCAGAAATTGATGATTGATTGCCTGCAGAAATTCGGATGTAAAATAAATTTAGGGTCTAGAGGGGTTTGAACAACACCTCTGGTCCTAGAGCTGCAGAATTATAGCAAAAGAAAAGAACTGTAGGTGATTGGTGTTTTTGTTCAAGAAGTCTTATTAGGACTGTCATTTTCTACTTTTGATTTCCTTTGTTGGTTCTGCTACGTTCTCATTTCCTGCATAAAATCCCAATGTTATTTTCTTACATATTAATTGTTCGTGTACCTTATTGCTTTCAAGGGCTTACCAAGTCATCTGAGCAGTCCCTCAAGAGAATTATTATGTATAATCTTAATGGATTGACAAAAATAAAAAGGTGATGATGTTGTTGGTTACATAAGAATAATACAAGTAAGATCCATGAGAAGAGAACTATTTCTTGGCTTAGTAATAGAAAAGGCATTGTTGATATGGATAGTGATATAGCTATATAAAACATAACAGAACAGCAACAATAACAATTGAAATAAAGTTTGCCTTGTCATACCATAACTTTTCAGTTTAGAAGTCTAAGACAAGGTTGCATGAGCCCTTTTGTTACAACACCAATAGATGATGCTTTTATCCTTCTGAAATTTGTTTCTAGCTACTGATTAATATCCTCTAGGTAATTAAATGGATGCTGAGCAAGGGGCAGGGAAATACAATGGGAACATATGGGCAGTTAATACGCGCTTTAGATATGGATCATAGAGCAGATGAAGCACACTTGTTTTGGTCGAAGAAAATTGGTACAGATCTTCACTCGGTGCCTTGGGAATTATGCAAACTCATGCTATCTATATACTATAGAAATAACATGCTAGAATGCCTCGTAAAGGTATGCTCCGATTTCAAGCTGCTTATCATGTTTTTGATGTTGTTTTTATTTATTTGAAAATTAATTCATTTGCATTTGTACCCATTAGAATCTATTTGAGATCACTTTATTGTTATTAATAACCGCATGAAGCTATGAAATTTGGTAATCATGCTACAAAATTCATTGGGGGTGGTAGAATTGAAAATTTTGAGCAAAAGTCTCGAGGTTTTGATCATTAACACATAGGGTTGAAGATTCTCCTGCTCTCCATTATTGAAATAATGTTTAATTTTTTCTTTAATCTAATCCGCAACAGATGCTAGGAAATAGAGATCTTTTGTTCAGTGTAACAACTGGATAACAGAAAAGAATATATTAACAGGTGGTGTACATGAAGATAAAAAAGTGGCTTTTGCATTAAGTTTTTCATACTTTATGTATAAAGCATTCTTATATAAACCAGCCTTAGAAGAGAATAGGCCTCAATAGAATTATTAATTTTCTCAAATTTTGTGTCTATGAAAATATTCCCACAAGCAAGTAGTTTTATGGGGAAAAAAAAGTGCCTCAGTACTCTAGCTGCTCCTACTAGGATAAGGAATTCTCAGTAGGGGATTACTAATAAACACCCCAATAAGAATATTCCATAGTGTTAAGGAAAGTCGCTATTTATTATGTACATAGCATGATCTTAGGGATTTTTATCTAAATAGTCGAGGATTTATCTTCCTAAATAATTTAGGAATCACTTGTATGTAAACTCGTATATCTTATTGATGAATACACACAACTATAGTTTTTCCTTAGCTTTCTTAACACTTAGTAACATTGGAACTTTAAATGGAAAAACCAATTGACCTAAAATAATCAACCCTTTGCAATAACATTGGACTAACCTTTTTCAGTCTCTCTACTTGGATTTCATAGCTTTTCAAGGGCCTGGAAGCTTTTGACCGCAAACCTCCAGAAAAATCAATTGTGCAGAAAGTGGCAAATGCATATGAGATGCTAGGTATGCTTGAGGAAAAAGATCGTGTGGAACAGAAGTATATCCATCTTTTCTCAGAGACACATAAAGGAGACAATAAGAAATTTAGAACCACCTCTAAGAAAAAAAGTCAGGTAAGCTCTTCTTCTCAGGCTTGTATATTGATACAAATTTATTTTCGGAAATAGATCTCATAATTTGAACCTTTTGAATCCTGCTAGGGATTAAGACAAAATAAATTGTCTAACAAGATTAGTCAAAGAACTCGGAAGTAAGGACTTTCAATAGATCAGAAAGTTGACCAGTCCTGAAATTTTAACAAGACATCTGGTATGGGATAAAGCTTATTACATTTTCTATTAATCCGAAGCATTCAATTGATATGATCTACCTTATTTATGTATCGTTTGTTGGTGATCAAGCCCAAAATTTAGTTCTAACTTGGTGCATGAAATAGTTTTTATTGTTTAGTCCCAAGTTCTTGTTATCTATGCAACTTTTATTTTAAATTGGATCTTGAAGGGCAGCAAATTAGATATTATTGTTTCGAGACACAACATAACCGATGAGGACCAATGGTTCAGATGGTATGGTATGTGAACGCGCTACCTGACTTTGGAGCCATTAACTAAAGTTTTGTTAGATTTTCGGTATAAATTTCAAATTCAAATTTAGTATTTTTCATCTAACTAATAAAAAAAATTATTAAGGGTAATATGGACATTTCAACTATCAAAGATTATGCTTGAGCCAGGCTCGCTTGAGCCAAATATGTTCATTGATGTAATAATTTGCGCCAACTATTATGTGTAAGTACTCACAGTAAAATGAGATTATAGTTGAGCTAGGCTCACTTGAGCCAAATATCTTTATTGATGTAATAATTTGCACCAACTATCATGTATAAGCGCTGACCGTAAAATGGCAAACGTGCATGCATTATTTGTTATCTTGTCCAAGATGCATTAGACAGTGATCATTCTCCATCACAAGCAACTTTCTTAGAAGTTAAAACTATAGTACTGCTTTGTTTAGGAGAGAGGATTTTATGAGAGGAAAGAAAATGAGGATGGAAAATAGCAAGAGAAGCATTTTCACTTGTTTGGTAACCAAAGCAAAATAATACACCAATGGATGAAAAATGGAGAATTTGAAATCCCCATTTCACAACCAAGGTACACTAGCTGTTCTGTTCTCTTTCCATCCATGCAAAGCAAATAGAACTGAATCTTTTCTTCTCATGCTACAGAAATTTCCTCTTCTAGCTCAAATCCTCCAACAAAAATTATTCAGCTAATCACACCAAAAAGAAAAAAAAAAAAAGAAAACAATGGTGAATTATGATGCAGAATATGCTAACAGCCAATTTTTGTGCTGCAGAATATGCTAATCCTTGTTACAAATAAACTCAGCTAAACATAAAAAGGGGTGGGCCAAGTATACAATTATTATTAATTCTCTCATTATTACAAAGAATCTGAACATATACCTGATCAGCAATGGCCATCTCCATAAAATTCTTCAATTCCACTACTCCAATCATTACAAGGAGAGGATCCCAAAACATCCTGCAAATTATATCCCTCAATTGAACCAAGCCCATCAAGCAATTCTTCAAAAAACCCATCATCCGTACAATTTCTATCCTTTTCTCCCTTAACAATCCCTTCTTCGGCTTCATCTTCCTCCATAGCTACCAAACAGTCTTTAGCTACTCTGTCATCATCTTCCCCAATAACAGCAGGCACGTGGCCTTCAAACAATGCTATGTGCCCAAACAACTTATCCTTTCTAGAAAAAGTAGTCCCACATGAGCATTTCCATTTGGACTCTCCACAATGCTTCAAATGACTCTTCAAATCCGCCACAACAGAGAAACTCTTCTTATTGCAACGGTTACAGGAGAACATCTTTGGACAATGACTTCTTTTGAAATGATTTCGAACACAAATCACCGATTTTAGTGGCCTAAACTTTTTATGCTTCTTGTTTCGGTTACATCCCAAAAAAGGACAAGAGAATCTAGTTTTCTTTACCTCCGCTGAAAATTCGTTTCCTTTATCAGGCTTCGCGAGCGCCTCTGGAGTTTTGAACTGATTTCCATGGGCCCTCATGTGCATCCGCAAATTAGCGTCCCGCTTGAATCCTTTGCCGCATATTTCACAGAAATGAACATGCTCCGCCAGCAATTCCACCTCATCTAGCTCGACAATATCATAATCCAGATCACATTCATCTCCTTCCTCCACCTTTAAATTGGACTCTAAAGCCGCCACCATCGCTGCGGCGGCGGATTTTACTTTCTCCGAGTTATGGTTTAAAACATTAGGTTTTGTTGTTAAAATTTTCAGATCGGGTAGATCCAAAAGCTTCTCATCCGGTTTAACGGCGGTCGGCGGCTGAACCACTTGAGAACACGAGAGAAGTGCGGCACCGTTGATGATAATCTGGTGGATGGCGGTGGAGATCTCGCAGGAGACGATATCCATATGTTCTTTACTAATTATAGTGTTGTTGTTGACCGATTCTGATAAGAACCGCTGCAGAGAATCCATTCTCGCCTGCACCGTGGAGAGGTTTAAGAGTGGGTTTCGAGGATCGCCGTTTTCCACCGGAAAAGAGTATTCCATCAGAGGACGGCCAATTTGGTCTGGATTTAACATTTTTTTTTTTTCTCTTTTTGCGTTTGTTTCTTGCAGAGAGTGAAGTTGATGAGAACTCTGAGAATTGACTTGAAAAAGGCCAAGAAGTCGAAAACCAATGGATTAACAGAGAGGCACACGCCACTTGTACACGTGGCGTCCAGATAATAGATCGCGTCCGTTGAATGAACACTAGATCAGCGAACTTTGCGGCTGGGAACAGAGACCGTTGGCCAGACCCAGACGAGTTAAACATAGCGGTCTGATCTCCGACCTCCAAGGATCGTTATCTAATGCGTAGTAGTGGAAAAAATCAGAAGCATCATTCACTCTGATTTTTTCTATTTCCTTCCGTTCTCAATATGTGATAATTTCTTTTTACATAAAACTCAAAAAAAAAAAAAAAATTGAAGAATTTTTGTTCAGGATAATAGACTATAGAAGATGGATTTTCTACAACTGTGACTAAATTGTTAATAGGTATTGAAAATGCAGAAAAATCGATAATTCATATAAGATTTTTTTTTTTTTATATATAAATCACCGGTATCTGGTTGTAATTATATTTAGTGGAGATCGAACCTGAAAACTATTCCTATATATCCAGTTTTTATTGTCAATTAAGTTATAATCCATTATAAAATGTTTGATAATGCATATTTTTTTCAAGTAAAAAGATTTTAATATTAAAATAAACTGCAATATATGATAATTTTAAAATTTATTATTATTATTATTATTATTATTATTATTATTGCTATAATTATATATTTTTATATTTATACTGCCATAAAGATAATAAGTTTTTCGCTCTAAATTCAATGCAATAAACTCCATCTCATTCCAATCATCTTTCTTTGAAGATAATTTTAACCAAAATGATAGCTACAGAATGCCAATCTTTATGCTATGTTTGGAAAGAGGGAAGAAATAACATAAGATATAAATTGATATTTATTCTTTTTCCTTTCAAAATGAAGTGAAAATTAGCTAGAAATGTGTAAAATAAATTACATCCTCTTTGTCATTTTCATCCAAATCAAATAAAGAATTTTGAAAATCATAATGCATTTTACCTTTTATTTAACATTCACTCGTATTTTACACTCATTCAAACAAAGCATTAGGCTTTATTTGTAAATTTTTTTGGTAATCAAAACTCGAAAATCGAGCCACAGAACCAAGACAATATAAAGTAGGAGTGTGCAAGAGATCACGGGAATTCTGAATCATTCTCGAAAACAGTCCGGAATTTTTCATCCCGGGAAAAAATCGATACTAATTTAATAGTTCTATTCCAAATCTCGTCCCAAAAGTAATTATATTTTGGGCCTAATTCTTTGATTAAAACTAATCCTTACCAACTCAAGTTCTGCCTCATCCCGTCCCATTCTGAAAATTGAGAATTCCTGTCTCATTTTTTCTTTAAAATTATAGTTTTCTTTTTTTTATAAATTCCAAATTATGTATATAAAAATCATTTTGTCTTTTTTAGTTTTTTGTTTTTTTATACCAATTGCTATTAAAGTAGTAATAATACAAAAAAATAATAAGAATATGCATTTTTTAAATATAAAATAAATCAAGTAATTAGACATATTTTTCAACATAAGTTTTTTCTTTGTTATTTCATATATGTGTTAAGTAAATCTTTTTTAATAATTTTTTTCTATTAAACAATAAATGGAAAGATTAATCGATACAAAAGAAATTATTAACTATAATTAATTTAATTATTGGATTATTAGTTATGCTTAATGCTATCATTATATATGTTTAGATAATATTCAGTATTAACTTAAGTATCAAATTTAAATCAACTTAAAGAAAACAATGGCAATACAATGATAAGCTAAAATTCATAAAAATACATGTACAGTTAAATTGTATATAGTTTTTGCATTATTTTGTTTTATTACATTTAGGCTTTTGTTAACAAGAAAATAACCACTTAAAAAATCTTCTAGTATACTCAATGATTGAGTTAATTAAGACTTGTATAAATGAATTTTATTCGATTGTAATTGATAAATACAATAAGTTTATCTTTTTTTTGATAAAAGATAATTTAGTAAGACTACAAGAAATCTCAATTGATTCTCGACTCGACCCATTTTGTCATGTCCCATAAACTCAAATTCTCGTCCCGTCCTATCCAAATAGATTAGAACTCCATTTTCTATGTCCGATATTTTAGAACAGGACTGAAAATTATATAATTTTCATCCCAGTCCGATCTATGCACACCCCTACTACAAATTAGTAATTAAGTGTTTTTCTTTTTTTTTTTTTTTTTGCAGCACCCCTACTACAGAAATTTAGTAATTAGTGTTTTTCTTTTTTTTTTTTTTTTTTTAGTATCAGAGAGATGTTATTCAAACCTAAATTATAATCTTTTTTTTTTTTTTTTTTTTTTAGTATCAGAGAATGTTATTCAAACCTAAATTTATAATCAAGTCATTTATGTATTTACCATTGAACTATGCCTTGGCGTGATTAAGTGTATTTGTCAATTGACTTGTAAATCATATACTGTTAAACTGATAAGAAGACGTAAAAACATAATATAGCATAATGAGTAAATTATCATTTTGCATTAGTTAATGAAAAAAATATTTAAGAATAAATTAATTATAAAATATTCTATTTATTTTAAATAGATATATAATCATAGAGTTAAACCTTATGATTATTATCTAATATATATATTATATTTACTATAATAATATTATTAAATCTGTTAAGAATCTCTCGTGGCCTAAATACTAAAACCAGAAAAGGCAGATAAGCATAGTAAACTACTAGCTAATTGGTTAAATACTAATCTTTTAGCATTAATTGGTCCAAATAAACCCAAATCATATCATTGATTTTAACCTCTACCGAGTTCACATCTATCGTTTCATTTAAGATAAAATCCAAGCTAATATAAAAAGTATATCACATCATGGTGATGTACTAAATAGGACTCGGTTCTTAAATTAACTGTTTGATCATTAACTGATCAAGAGATCTTTATTATACATTATTGCAATATAAATGAAATTAAGTGATGTATTCTAACAAATTAAAACCGTAATTTGATTGCATAAATGATTTCTTTCTAATAATATGCTAATTATTCAATTTTATTAGAAAAAGATAAAGAAAGAATAAAACAAAGGTAAAAGAGAAGGGAAGAAGTGGGTACGTACATGCTTACAGACTTGGACTACACTCGTAATGGACAAAGCAAGGTCCGACACGGCGTTTTGGTGGTTGGCGCTTTCAAAATGACGTGTGCGATTACGAAATTATAAAAAGAACAAAGAAATAGAATAAGATAAGAGTGAAAAAAAATTATATATATATATATATAAAATAAACATAATCTTTTGACATTTTCCAAAAAATAAGCATGTGAAACGAATTTCATAAACGAAATAATTTTACAAAATGTCACTTTCCCTATATATAATTATAATGTTAAATTTACATCATAACTTCACCATAAAATATTTTAGGCGGCTCACTAATTTATACAAATAATTATTAATTAAGTTGATTATGTTAATTTTCTTTTGGTTAGTTAAGTTTAAAATTTTTTTAAGCACTCCAGAAATAAATAAATATATATATATAAAATAAAGGAATATTTCTAATTACTTCTTTTACCCGCCTATTTTGCCAATTTTTGAGAGAATTTTAACAAAAATAATGCTCTTGTAAAAAATATCGAATAAAAACTTATTACAAATCTAATATTTGTCGTGCGTACAGAGAATGTTGCACTAAAACTACCAACTCAATTTGTTTCGGTGCATTCATAATAGTCAGCGAAAAATAGCAAAAAAGTAAAAAAAGTACAATATTTTGTTAAAAATGCACCATGATTAATAAAAAATATTTATTTACTCAAAATACATATCATAAAATGTAAAAAACATTACTTTGTCATAACAAATAATTATTCACTGTACAGCCTAAAAGAAATGAAAGTTATTCGAAATTTTATATTTCCATCATTCCATGGTTGACACAAATGAAAAGAAAATTTATTTTGCTGTTAAAAAAGTTCAACTCAAGCCGGACCCAATCTGTAATCCACTTTTCTACCAAGAACCCAAATAAGTTTAGAAGTAAAAATTGCAGGGCTTTACCCAAAGGGAACTCTTCCAGAAATTCTCAACGGCCAAAGCTGAACCCAGGCCGAAGAGGGGGTCTGGAAATAGTTTTCAACCAGCAATAGACCACCTCGGTTAGAACCTCACTAGCTGCGTCATTGCCCCAAGCGCAAAGATAAATTCCGAACTAATTCCCTATCTCTTTATATAACCAGCATGCAGTTGCTCTACTTGTTGCCGTGCGGATGTGGGATCACATGCCCGCATAGACCTCTCAATGAAGAGCAAATGCAAAAGGGAGTGATTTGATTACACTTTCTTTCAACAATTTTCCATATAGTCTAGGGGAAAAAAAGAAAGAAATTCAAACTATAACAATATAATATTTATGATTTTAACTTTATTATTATGTGTATTATACGACGCTAAACTTGCAAGCTCTCGCTTGGCCACATACACACGCATATAAGAACAAAGGTGATCCGGTATATGAAACATCTTACATGTGTGGTTTTTGGGGAGGGTTGATGTAGCAGTATTCCAGCTCTTTTTTTTATAGACACAAACATATATAATAAAAATAAACTTTTTACCCTACTTTCTACACTAAAATTTGTATCTTTCATTTGTGTAGCTTTGGTCGGATTCCAAAGAGTACTTCAGTCCACAGTTCATAAACAAAAAATTATTTTGACCTTGATGATTAAGCATTTCTTTGATGATTAGTTCAATGGAAATGAACATAGGTATTAATGATCAACATTAATTTTTTATATTACCTAAGACAGCGAATTATAAATATATCCGAAAATTTCAATGGAACAATTATTTGTCTTCCATTGACAATGGCAATGCTGTGATTTGATTAGGAAGTAACGAAACAACATATATATACCAAAACCTAAATTGGAAGGAAGAATTCTCTGTTGAAAATGGCAGCTGTTTCCCCTTCTCCTCTTGATGAGTTTTCCCCTAAGCAGCCTAGAGTGGTCATTACGACTCCTGACCTGATAACAATAGAGGAAGGAAAGCCTACTCCTTCACAAGCATCAACAACAGATATTCCTGTAGTTTCTCCAAACAACGCCCATAAGGTACCTATTTTTGTCAATTTTTCCCTGCCTTTCAGTTTCAGTGTATGAGCTCAAGACTCAAAATCCTAATAAGAAGTTGTTGAACGGTTAGATAATTGCAGAGATGGTGGGAACCTATGTGATTGTATTAATAGGTTGTGGTTCGTTGATCGTTGACCGTATAAATGGGCCGCTCTCAGTTGTTGGTATAGCAGTGGCTTGGGGTCTGGTTGTGATGGTGATGATATACACATTCGGCCATATCTCTGGAGGTCACTTTAATCCAGCTATTACTATTGCTTTTGCTATATCCTGCAAGTACCCATGGAGACAGGTTAGGATTTGAACTAGGGACATCTGGTTGAGGAAAAAATACCCTACCGTCCCTTCTCAAACCTCGGGGTAGCACTAGTCGCATTTTTAAAATGGTGTTGTTTTTTGCCTGTGACTGTGTAGGTTCCAGGATATGTAGCATCACAGTTGGCAGGATCTACACTGGCAATCCTGACCCTTAATGTGATGTTCCACCGTGAGAAAATAGATATCAAGATTACAACAACTCAGTATGAGGGTAGAGCAACTGATCTTGAAAGCTTTATATGGGAGTTTATAACCTCGTTCATTCTAATGCTCACAATATGTGGTGTTGCTATTGATACTAAAGCAGTATGTATACTTCAAACTGCACTTTTTCTGAAGTTTTAGCTTTTTTTTGTTATATATATAATTTGGACAATCGTTTATCTTTATAAAATTTGGTTGAATTATTGGAGAATATGATTAAAAATGTAGATTAACGAGTTGTCTGGAGTTGCAGTTGGGTCTGCAATGCTATTTGACATGCTAATTGCAGGGTAATTAATTGATAACAAATTTTTAAGAGCCATTAATTACATTATTATTCATTTTAGGGATCAATAAACAATGTTTAAGATTGTGTCTTGCAGGAACATAACAGGGGCTTCAATGAACCCTGCAAGAAGCATAGGCCCTGCCCTTGTTTCAAAGGATTTTTGCGGTCTTTGGGTCTATATTTTTGCTCCCATTCTTGGAATGATAGCTGCTTCAACCATGTATACTTTCCTCTGGCCTCCCACTCAAAATGTTGATAAAGACAACTCAAAGAGTGTATAGCCATTCTTCCTTTTTTCTTTTCCCTTCAAATTGGATTAGGCATATCATTCTCAATATATATATATATATATATATAAATGTTACTTTCCCTCTGGCCCCCACTCAAAATGTGAATAAAGACAACTCAAAAGAGTGTATAGCCATTTTTCCTTTTTCTTTTCCCTTCAAATTGTGATTAGGCATATCATTCCTCAATATATATATATATACTATACTATATATACTTAGGTCTTATAAACGTAAATATTTCTTCTTCCCTCCATTTTTAATAAATGTCCAACGCGCAACATGAGGAACATATATATATATATATATATATATATCTTAGGTCTTATAAACGTAAATATTTCTTCTTCCCTCCATTTTTATAAATGTCCAAGCGCACATGAGGAACAATGAGGTATATGATTAGAGCAAATTCTCCATGTTTCACAACTTTTATGAAAGAACAATTTTTTAATTTAGGATATATGTAGCAGTTAAAAATCAAAGTTTGAGATTTGTACTAGTAATCACCAATTAAGGTCGTGTTTATAGCTTAAAAAAAAACATAAAGTCCGATTGTTTGGTTTGTATTATCAATTCAACTTTCTAGGAAAATAGCCATCGATTTTTTATCACAAGAAAAGTAACTTTCTTAGGTAGACTAAGGAAATAGTTTTCCTTATTTAAATGCAATGAATTTCGCTAATCTATCGTATCATGTAATTGTATTTTATATTTTTATTATTAACGCTATTATTTTTTATAATTTGAGAGCAGTTTAATGTCAGCAATGATAATTTATATACTAAAAACATGATAAATCATGTTTTCAAAAAAGTAATTTTTCTAAAAATGTACTTTTCAAAAAGTACAAATCCTAAAGAATAGGACATCTCGAGCCAAATGATATTTAAAAATGTTTGATAAATTTAATGATTGGAATAATATTCAAAATATTAATTGGCAATTCAAAATTATAATTGAAACGTTAAAAGTTAAAGAGTTTATTCGGCAAATTAATTATTTTGATAGCTGTTAGCTGTTTTAGTATCTTTTCATAAAACGCTAAAAGCTAAACATTACATAAATTAACTTTTCACAAAATACTATCTTAATCTTTAAAAGTTAATTCAAATACTATATCACCGAATAATTTTTTAAGTAGCGTTTAATGTTTTGACTAGCCAAAACGCACTCTACTTAAAATGTTGTTACAAAACACAACCGAAATTTTTAACTATCATCAGTTGATGTTTCAATTGCTAGCTACCAAAATTTAAAAACTAAGTTCTACCTATCAACAACTATTAAATCAAACAAGTCCTTAATCTCTTGGCAATATAAATATTTATTTATACAGCATTAAAATTTTTTTTTCTCGGAAATATCATGCATGGTATCTTGAGCATAATAGTCAATAACACAATAATTATACTTGCCAAAATGGCTGCTTTGTTTTTCATTTTTTAAAAAAAAAAAAATCTCCAACTTACTAAAGTATTGAAAGTAAATAAAAACTAATTTTGACATATTTAGGATATAATAAATTCCTCTAAAACAGGTGAGAAAATAGATTTAGAGACTTTAAATAAGACTTGTAGACGACACGTAGTTGCAAATTGTAACGATGGTTACTGTAGGACCTGGAGTTGGGCTGATGTGGAATCCTCCTAAAGCCCACCAACCTCAATGTTCCATTTCTGTGATTGACGATGCACTTGATTTACAAGTAGCAACATTGGGCAGATTCTAAGCTACAGCAATTAATTTTGCATTATCCAATTTGTATTAATATGATTAATTTTTTTTGATTGAATAAGAAAAAAAAATATATTTACATAAATAAGGTATGATGTGATAATCCAATCGTAAAAGTGATATTTACAGCCAATCCTGAAATTTAAACCCAAAGTCTACACCTATTTGTATGATTAATTTTTATGAGAATAACAACTTTTGAAATTAAATTTCTTGTAAGATAAATAACTAAATGTTACTCTATCTATTCTAAAATATAAATCGGTTTGAGTATTTTAAGGAGTAATAAATTATATTTTTCTAATATTAACATTGTTTAGGTTAGTTACGATAAACACTTTCACAAGTAACCTTTGGTTTTAAAATAAGGATAATTTGGTCAAATTACTTTTGAGTTTGTTATAACCTAGGAGAATTAATTACTTTTTAATCTTTGTGTAACAACCTTAAACGACTTATATTTTGGAATAAATGGAGTATTTTGAGAGTATTGCTCTATTTCATAATACTTATTACATTTAGAATTTCACGTCTCCTAAAAAAACATTAAATTTGTCTAAGTTACAATAAATTAATATTTTTTATCCTTAATTGACTATATTATCCTTAATTTAACACTAATTTTCTAAAAAAATCCATTAAATTGAAGTAATATTTTTTTATCATATACAAAAGGTAAATATAGAAAAAAAAAGATTTATTGCTCCTTGAAAACACAAATATAATAAGTATTTTAAAACATGCTATTTTTTCAAATTTGACAAGTACTATGAAACGGAGATGGTATATAATCAGATTTGTTGACTTTTAGAATCTCAACCTTCCAATTTTATTGAAATTGATACATCACAAACATTAAGTTTGAACATTTATTAATAGGTAGAGATTAACAGGTAGAGACGAAGGTCTCGTCGGAAATTAAATTTATGAAAATTGATGGCCATAGAATTTATGCCAAAAAAAAAGCAGCAACTTACTTCAAAAAGTTTATAATTTTTTGTTTTAGCATTGGAGAAGGAATTCAAATATGAATATATTATCAGGCTATATATATATTTATCACTAAACTATATCTTAGTGTGTAACAAGTATATAATTATTAAGTGATGACCTCACCGTCCAATTAGTTAATAGTGTACCAAATCACTAGTAATAATAATTATGATTAACTACTATTTAATCATGATTAGATATGCCCCACCCACCAGAAAACTAAAGTCCAAGACATTCTATAAACTAATAATTATTGGGAAATGAGTTGTGCTAAATGGCACACGTTGTGCCTAGCACAATGTCTATTCAGTTTTTCTCTGGTCAAGTTAAATTATCAAATGAAGGTGGATGGATATCGTGTTGCTGCCCCTGCTGTCGGATTGATGCCGAACACCGTGTATGGTGACCGAAAAATTGAACCAACCTAGAAATTTTCTCATTAGATATCAAAATGAGGAGAATTTTATGAGTGCTTCAATTGTGCTATCAATCTTTATGAATTTTATCGATTTCATCAAAATTTTCGAACTCAAACTCAAGTTTCAATTGACATAATCCTTCACCAAATTCTTAAATGAACACAAAATCAAGTTTACTTTATAGATAACTATGAATTCAAAGTTATTTCAACAAGAATTGTAGTCAAGATTGCAAAACCCAACCGAAAAAGTCTAGAAAAATAAAAATTGAATTTCTTAATATGGAAAAATAAAAACGATTGGCCAAACGGTGATTGGATGTAGGCTTACTCTAAGTGGAGGAGCATTTTGCTATCTTATTCGTGTTTAACGGTAGCTGGAGTTTGATCAAAGAATGGCAGCTAGTAATCCTCTTTCGTTTGACGTAAACAAAGAAGGAGAAGAAGAATAAAATGAGGTTTTCTCTCTCCTTTGAACTATTTATAGTTCAATTTGGTCTGATTAGAGTTTGATTCGATTTGAATCACAATAGCTTTGATTTCTTTGGTTTTCTAGTGGTTTAGCTTGTAGTATTGTAATTAGATTAGACTAGGAAATAAATACATTAATTGACTTTACATACTTTCCTCAATCGTTAGAAAACTTTTTATATCCATTGAAATGATGATAATCTAAAAATCAGCATAATTAATGAAATTGAGATTCAATACCTTAATTAGCATATATAATTAATCAATGTCAAGATATTTCAAATTATTGAAATATAATTATAGTGTTCTTAATTACTAGCTAGTATTATTCCATGTAATAATAATAATAACCATGTAACCATAAAAAAGGTGTAGTTTTAATTGCAGAGGGTTTATTGCTGTTGAACGGGTTCCGGAATCAGGAAGTCGGTTTGCAAAGAAAAAAGCATATCCAAAGGTTAAATAGGGAATTTAATAGTTATGCCCAAGTAGATTCGCGTTGTAAGCTGATTTGGACCTCTTTTATGCCATGTCATCTATCACATGTGAAAAAATAAGTCTCACGATTACACATTCATGTTTCTGACGAGACAAATTGGATGAGACGTTAAAATGCAAATTTTAAAAAGTTTGTACACTTAATTGATAATATTTTTTGTTCAGACACTAAAATAGAAAAAAATGAAATAAGGTAACAGTTATGCCTATATTCAATTCATTCAACTGGTTAAATTGCTTTTTTTTTTTTTTTATTGTTCTGTTGAAGGACACAAACCAATTCATTAATAATAATAGAAATGTAGCAAACAAAGAGAGACCAAAGTCCAAATCTGGAATAGAAAATTATAGCAAGACTATATAAGGAAAATCGACGAGGAAAATTGGATTCGGTTTATTAAAAAATCAAATGACTCAAATCAAGTCGGGGATTCTAATTAATTGCTTGGTTCAAATGTTACATTGATATATATTCTCTAGACCAAGTGGCATTAAAAAATTTTGGGACTTATTTGGTATTTTGGCACTAATAATTCATATATTGACAATTTGACAGTGAAGGTGTATAAATAAATATTAATAGCCATCAATTATTTGGCTTGAATTAACAAAGTCTTTGATAGAACAATTACAGTACATGCCCCTATTCAATTTTCCATGTGGAAGACTGTAATTTAAACCTAAGACCAAAAAGTCTACAAATATTCTTAAAGCTCAACCTCAACTTCACTATCACTATACCTTCTCTAAAACCACCCTCGTTTCTTCTATATTCTAGAATCACTGTGCCCTAATAGCATAGAGTTTCTTCAATGTATGAGTAGAAGTTGATTTGTATATATCATAAATGGATTAAAAAAAGAGAAAATGCAAATGGGATATTATATTAAAATACATATGAAAGTGTTAATG